GCATGTACATTTTTAAATTAATTTGTAACTTAAACAAAAATCTTACAACTATTAACAAAACTCGACAATAATTTCGATACTCATTTGAAACTTCATATGAAACTACTTACAAATACTCATCTTGGCTAGAGTCAGGCGTTTTGTTACTGCAGGACTCCTCCATAGCAGAAAAGGCCCTCTTAGCAGAAACTGAAACTTCGCCCACGCTCTACCAGCTTGCTGCCAAGCTACCCAAGCTTCCTGTTGAGCCATGAGTGCCCTCTTTCGTATCTCCTAGTTCCGCTTCGTCAAGATCCATTACGCGTATCAGTTGTTAATAAAAGTGGTTATATCTGTTAAATCTGCTGAATGGCGCCTCGAGGCACTACCTTTGTGGCCCATGCTTCGATGAACCGATTCGTATTTCGTTAGAAGTAAGTATAAAATGGTGGAGTGGTAAAGTTTGTGTTAAACCAAACTTTGGTGTTTGGGAGATCCTGGTTCGAATCCCGGTTATATAACATTTTACGTTGTGTTTAATTGCCGTAAGGATTCCTAATATCCTCAGATAGCACATCCTTACGTTAGGTAAGGACGTCTTTAAGTATAGGATCCTAACGTTAGGTAAGGAAAATCTAGTGAAATAGCCTTAGTTAGGTAAGGACGTCCTAAGGTTAAAATCCTATACGTAAAGACGTCCTAATCTAAGGACGCTTGTGAAATGGGCCCCTGAACTCACTCGGATTATTCGAGTCGGATATTTGGTAGACTCGGGATTAACATGAGACTTCATACACGTGATATACGTATACAACACAAGCTCTTTAAGTCAGTCATTGGCTATGATCCATAGCTGAGCATAGTTTATGATTCATGAATCATGAAGCGTGTACACACCGACTTTTCACACCGTCTGTCTCCCGCAATATTGGTTTGAGCCTTGAGGTTTGCATAGGTTTCTGTGTTGAGTTCAGTGTGATATACACCTCCGTCGCGAAATGGCAGTTGACTATTGTTTCGCACCTGATTCTAGTAGAATCATTCTACGTTGCACTCGTATTGTGTTCGACCATAACATTGTTGGGTCGTGAGAATTGAAACACAACATAATAAGGGCATTTAAAATGGTATATCTGGTTATAGCTATGTCAATCATCTGCTAGAGACTAGTGAACTGATATTGGTGAGTCATGCTCTGTAAGAGTAGCTGAGTGACCCTATTTTTCCCCCGCGGCGCTGCGATGTCACCAGCATTGCGAGAAACTTTACTATTGATGTTGATGATATTATCAATGCCCGTAGACTGAAACGACCTGTTGAACCATCGTATCCAATATGAATGCTTGGGGGAGTCCCCCAGGGGGACAACTCTCCTATATCATGTAAGTGAACAAGGACTGATATTGCCTCGCGCCACTGTGCCCACCATAGATCAAAACTCTCGTCGTTCTCATTTAATTGTTAGAACGACCACTTGATTAACATCAATAGGCCCCATAATAGCCTTGCGGGGTCCACATGACAGACAATACCAAGGATCATCGCTAGTGGCAGCGCCGTTTTGAACACCACTACATAAACGGTGATGCCATTTTCGACACCCATCACATTGAATCATAGCCCCACGGACTGCATCTAGATCATCGCCAGGTAAAAGACAAATAGCACAATCAACTTCATCCACGCTCTCACATGGTAGGAAATGTCGGTACAGTATCCTTACTGCAGTCTCAGCCATAATGCAAAAACAACACCGACTAATAGACTAATAGCCTCATCGAAACCTAATACTGTTAAGGCTATCAGGAATTACATTGTCAGAAAAATTTGAAACATTTATGGGCGAGCGCATTCGAGACAGATGTCCAAAGGTAATCGGTGCCACATTCCGACACATTGTAGTCCACATTACTAAATGTTGTCCAAACATGTCCAATTGATCAAAAAGCTGTCCAAAGGTCGCTACAGGCGTAATTGGACAACTTCTTGATGAAAAAAAATATTCGACAACTTCATGTCCAAACTACTCCCTAGGGTAGTTTTTCGACAAACTGTCCAAAACTTAGTCTTGAGATTCGTTTTGACATCCCTTGCTGTCCAAAGGGCTTTCGACAACTTTATGTCCAAAGTTGATGTGTCCAAAGGTCACGCAATCGCCGAGTGAGGCGTCCCCTCGCAGGTTTTGCGTCTTGGGACAGTCTAGCAAGATGTTACGTACCTCTAATCACTGACTACTAGTCAGTGACTAGAACACGACAGGATAACCCGGAGTCTGTTAATCTTTATGATAAGAATCTTGAAATCTATACGCTATCGATCAGCATGCCTCAGGGTGGCTGAAAGTGGGGAATTATACCTATTATTCCCGGGAATATTCCCCGGGGAAGGAAACTAAGGAATTATTTTGGGGAATAATACCTGCATTTTCGGGAATTATGTAAAATAAACATCGAACACGATGAACCTGTAGTTTCTTGATGGATTCTGAGGTTGTTGTTGGAACTAGTGGACTCCAAA